AACATACTTTCCAGAAGGCCAGCAATTCACTAAAAATTTTTTTTTATAGGTCTTATGAGGTATTCTAATTTATTGAGATAGTCAATTGGTGGGTTTTTGTTAAATGTGAGCAAAATCATCACAATTAAAAGACCCAACGGCTTAAACTACTTCAGTCTGTGTGTACTGAATTTATATAATATACGAGTTTCACTATTTGAGTTGAATTATTGAAATAAATGGACTTTTCCACGATATTCTAATTTATTGAGCTGCACCTGTACCTTCAGATGTTACAATACTGGGAAAATGTTAAGCAGCCAATATACTTTGGCTTTTTGAGGAAGTGTTCAGTTTGGTCTGAAATAAACCATAAACGCCTTGGCACTGGCCACATGCACAACGTTTGGCTGACATTTGTTGACTTTAGTTTGAAGTCAGTAAAGTTGTTTCTCCTGTAATGTCAGTTTTACTGATTCTTACTTGTGTGTAGGTGTGGGACATTGTGGGTACAGAGCTGAAGCTGAAGAAGGAGCTGACTGGTTTGAATCACTGGGTGAGAGCACTAGTGGCCTCCCAGAACCACCTGTACAGTGGCTCGTATCAGACCATCAAGGTAGGTGGGGGTGGGGATATACACACGGGTGAAAATGTTGTTTTTTTTTCTCTGTAATTTAAGTGTCTCAGTAAGGTTTTTGGCCACCATGTACCACCAGAACAACTGCATTGCTCCTTGGTTTTCACTCTCCAAGTCTCTGAGTTCTACTGGAGGGATGAACACCGTTCTTCCAAAAGATATTCCCTCATTTGGTGTTTTGTCTAATGTCACATTCTGACGGAGTTTCAAAGGTGTGGAAAAATGCAGCTCTCCCCATTCATTTCTATGGGGGATTGCATTCACTGCAGCCAGAACAAGCACCACAGGGGCCTCTGGCAAAATGAGAAAGTTGAATCTGGTTCAGCTTTCACCACACCAGATGGTGACATCATCCAGCAAAGATGCTTTGTTGAACAGCCATGTACAGGCAATGATCAGGATGTGGACGCCCACAGGAAGAAAACTCATTTGTTTACCTTGTTAGCATGAGCATTCACTGCCATCCACTGTCAGATTTGGGCCACAGTTAACACACCATAATGACATGCCTGCATGTTTGTTAGTACTGGATGTTAAACTGTGTTTTTATATATATCAATGCTGACACACTGGTGATAGAACTGGTACTAAAGCTGAATAGCAGCATGGCTAACAAAACACAATGGAGGCTCCCGGGCTGGAAGCATGAATGAAGCCACTCATGTCGACTCATCACAATTGTGACCATATAATACGCACCTATAAACCCCGCTACCTCTCAGCCCCAACGAACGCAGCCCCTTGCGATAAAACACAGCAGGCAGTTGCGTTTTTACTGGATCAGACTGAATGCCCGCTAACACGTTGCTCCAACATCTCCCATACTGACTGTGATTGATTCACATAATTTTCATATTCATCAAAACATTCAGTGACCCCTCGTGCCCTGTGGTTTAGGGGGCTGTCATCCTGGAGAAGACCACGCCCATCAAGCTAGAAATGTTTCATCATTAGGATAAAGGTGATCACTCAGAACAACTTTGCATTGGTTTACAGTGACCCGTCCCTCTAAGGAGACAAGTGGACCCAAACCATGCCAGCAAAATGCCCCACATAGCATAACCACGGATCCCCGCACTGAAGGGGTCAAGCATTCAGCTTTTTCCTTTTATTTGCCACCCCCTTCTATAAGTAATGTATACACACCCTGTTCAGATTCATGTTTTGATGTACTTCTAAGCCATGGTCACATGGCTGTTTGATAAATGCCTCCTCTAAACAGTGATTGTCCACTCATAGCTTAGCGATCATAACCAGGTGCAGCAGGCCTGTGTGTCTTGGTTTTTTCCACATGGTGAAGCAGCACGTATGGAGCTATAGAGAGAGATAAGCCATATAAGTTTGTAGGGTGGTGGGGTTTTGAATAAGGAATGCATTAAACCTTGTGTGTGTTTGTTTTATAGTAAGCTTCAGATGTTGGCATGCCTGTCTACCTTGCTTACTACCTGTAGTAGTAAGCTAGTATTACGAAATCTAGGGCCATGTCATTAGCGAACCACATTATTATGTGGGGTTACGGTAGAAGAACACCTGTTAGGGCTGGAGCATCCACCCTGTGGGAGCCAAGGTGCTAGTATGTCACAGCTTGGACTAACATTAATGGCTCTCTGTCTTCTCTTTATTTGTTTTTGGTGTAGTTAATGTTCCAGAAACTTCAGTCACACTTGCGCAAGAAGCTGTGACATGCGCCAAACTCTTGTTCCTCAAACTCTCATCCTTTTCTTTTGTAAAAGTGAAGCATAATGTCAGAAAATATGACCATCAAAACTTAAACGTATCCACTGTGTTGCTTGTCCCATTAGGTTTACCTATAGTAAGCTGTCATACCCCCCAATGCATATGTAAAAATGTTTGAACATTTGAAGTGTAAAAGATAATGTACTGGGGCTTACTAGCTCTGTGGTGCATTACACAAGCAGTGCTGTTTCTTTATTTGTGTTTTTACATAATTATTAACTTGTGATGCTGACTTTTTGCAAAGATGGGCGGCTGTTTTAGCCTCAGTCCTTTTAAGATGATATCATCTTATATAGAAAGTGGTAAATCTGCCCCCATTGGTAAAATGGAAGGCTTAACAGGAATAGCAACAGTTATCTAAGAGCCTGCAGTTAATATGTTTTTACCAGGTAAAAAGACTGTGACTGTTCTGATCTGAAGATTTCTCCTCCGTTACAGTTAATCATGTTTTATTTTTGTCATGAGGTGCAGCAGAATGAAGACTGGAAAGTTGTGTTTGGCAGGTGCTATAGATTTATCTGCCAGTGATTTGAGTGGGATTTTTGGGAGATTACTTGTGTTAATTTTGGATTTGGAGCATAAAAATAAAAAGCTGGGGGAAGGTAGAAAAGAGTATACTGGCCCCTTCCTTATGTAGAGTTGCACAAGTGGCCAAAAATACAGCTCTATGTGCTTTTTGGGAATAATCAGCACATATAAAACACTTCTTTGTCTTTTAATAAATATGCTTAAATACCTGCTCTGCTGTGTGCGACTATGTGTGCTACTATATGGAGATTGGTCAGGGCCTTCAGGTTTTTAGCTGAGAAGTGCTCCAGTTGTTGCCACTTCTTAATAAGCTGGAGTACAGACACCTTGTTGTAGACTGTGGGGCTGTGCATTGTGTGCAGTCAAAGTGGTATGGATGTGTTTTGGCCTGTAACTGGGTTCTATCCTCTTGGAGTTTGTGTCTGTCCTCATCTTCATGTACTGCCTCGCTGTTGAAAGTACTTTATGAGGCGGTCGCTAATGAAAACCTCAGGGATGCTGAGAGATAATGAGAGAGGGACTGGTTGTGGAACTGGGGGACATCTGTGGAAGGATGAAGAACGAGGAAAGGCGGATGAAAGCCCATATACTGTACTCTTGTTATGATGCCTGTAAGTGGAACATTTAGTCTCTTGCCAGTTTTTAAGCAGAGAAGGCATTTAGAAAATGTTTTTCCATGACAAATCCTGCCAATATTCAGTGAAAAGAACCCCTCAGAACATTTTTAGTATTACGTAACTTTGACACAGCACACTACAAAGTTCCTAGAGGACTGATTAGTCCCTGTATAAAATTTAGCATGTTTAAATAGAAACTCTGTTTTGCGTTGATTTCTTTTTAATGCAAGAAACTGACTTCTTTTAGTTTTTATGTTTGACAAGTTGGACCAATGTTTAAATATGATAATATTTGGCACTTTTTAATAGTAGCCCCTGTATTTTATCAGACCCATATGGATCATCTGTTGGTGTGTTTTCCTTTGTTGGGTAGTATAAAAGTGGAGAGAGTTTGGCTAAATTCGAAACCTCAGTGTTAGATTTTCATGGTGTATACCTGTTATGCTACATTTAAACCAACAGCAGGTCTTTCATTTCACTTAGAGCAGTGGATCTAACTGCAGATCAAAACAAAACCAAAATAAATAGAAAACTACCAAGGATTTAAGCCTAATCAAAATACATATGTACATGAATTATGGAGTTGGAGAAGACTGTCTGGTTGGGGTTGTTACTGATGGTTTATTGGATGAAGTTTTCTGTCAGTAAAATAACATATTGGCTATAGATATGAGGTGTTAAACACTAAGTATTTGGTTTGTTACCTTGATAAACAATTGAAGCAATGGATTGCCTACCAAAATGGTTTAATGTTGTATTGATTAAAGCTGCTATATTAACAATGGGTCAGATGGCTGTGTTAAGTGAATGGGGTCACTCATAGTGATGAACCCACAGACAGTTTTCACCCAACTTTGCAGTTCTCCTCTGCAGCATCGTATTTATTATTGTTTTGGCTTTCTGGCCCCCAGCGTGGCTATTTTGGTTCACTCTTGGCATAGTTGGTTGGTTTTCAGTGAGAAAGGCCTAATTAGAAAAAAAGTATTCCATCTTCTCAGCACCGAACTGCAGACCGACAAAATTAGTGGCTAGTTCATGAACATAGTGGAGCATTTAGCAGGGTAAAGAATCAGATATTTTACTCAGGATTTGGTGAAGACCAGAACAGAACCAAAAGGAAATGAATACATCTGTCAGAGGGAGAGGAACATGACTCCAAATGAATTATGCTGTTCAGTGTATGTTAGTTTGGGCTGCCCCCTAATAGTTGAATAGTACGCACCTGGTGTTAAACAGTAACACCATGCGTTGATTAAGCAAAGCTTAAACTTGTTGGTAAACTTGGCTATAACCACATCTCAGAAGAAAATAAACTGCCTATAAGAACACTGTTTCAACAGAAATACATGTGTTCTGCCTGTCTCATTATTCCCACAAATCCATATGGCATCCTGATATTGTATGTCATCAATTTAAATAGGTCATAATTTAAATATTAAATCATATACAGCTGTCTTTTATTGGTTTTTAAACACTCAGGAATATGTTCTTGTCACTCTTTTGCCAGCTGTTCCAGGTCTCTCAGATTTGAAGGGTTCCTTCTTCCAGCTGCTGTTCTGAGATCTCTCCACAGGGGCTCTATGTGATTTAGACCTGGACTCATTGCTGGCCACTTGAGAACTCTCCAGCACATTGTCTAAAACCATTTCTGGGTGTTTTTTGAAGTCTGCTTTGGGTCCTTGTCTCACTGTAAGACCCATGACCTCTGACGATGATCCAACTTTCTGACACTGGGCACCAGAATTCATTGGTAGTCTTCACATTTCATAATGCTGTACACACAGTCAAGACATCTGGTGGCCGAAGCAGCGAAGCAACCCCAAACATCAGTGAATCTCCACCATGTTTGACTGTAGGGACCGTGTTCTTTTCTTTGAAGGCCTCATTTCATTTTCTGAAAACAGTAGAATGATGTGCTCAACCAAAAAGCTCTATTTTAGTCTACAGGACATTCTCCCCGAAGGATTGTGGCTTCCTCGGGTGAGTTTTGGTGAACTCCAATCTGGCTTTTATATGTTTCTGTGTCAGCAGTGGCGCACCCCTGGGTCTCCTACCGCAGTGCCCCTTGTCATTCAGATGGCGACGGATAGTGCGAGCTGACACTGTTGCACCCTGTGCCTGCAGGTCGGCTCGGGTTTGTTGGAAGCTGATCGAGGTTCTTTATCCACCATTCAAGCAATCCTTCGTTACAATCTGTCATCTAGTGTTCTTATTCGTCCACGTCCAGTGAGATTAGCTTCAGCACCATGGCCTCTAAACTTCTTGACAATGTTCCACGCAGTGGACACAGGAAGAGCCAGATCTCTGGAGTGAGGGACTTGTAGCCTTGAGACTGTCCAGGCTTTTCTCCTATTGTGGTTCTCAAAACCTCAGACGATTCTTTGCTCTTCTTTCTTTTCTCCAAGCTCAGCGTGGTCCAGGCGACACAAAGGTTGAGTCAACTTTTCTCTATTTTATGTATAATTTCTATGGTGCCAGCACCTGTTGACTGCTACAGGTGAGTTTCATTGCAAATTAGTGGACCATCACTATTTCTGATGATTTTGAAAAGGTGTCATTAATTCTGTCCAGTCCATTTTTTGGAGTTCTGTGTGGATCAGATTTGGCTTTTTCCTCTGCTTTTTTTTCGTTGCTCCAATGTAAACAAAACAAACATGAGAATACAAAAGAATTTGTGATTGCAAAAACTTTTCTGGGAGAAGTGGTGCATTATCTGACAGAAATGCAGCCGTGGCAATATTTTTGGCCGTGGCACTGAAGAGCAAACTGACAGTCGACTGGAAAAACCCTTAGTCGGTACAGCCCTAATGTTAATGCTGTGTTTACAGTGGCCAAAACACAAGCTTATAGAAACGTTTCAACATAATGTTATGTTTGTTCTCTGTGGTCGCAAGTGTCCCATCTATCCTGCTGTTTTCAAGTCAGTTTATAATGTATACTATAATTAACAAATTACATAATTTAAGAAGTAATATAGTTTGAGTACAGCTTCTTTCGTGTGAGAAATTGTCAGCTCTTCTCTCTAGAAGCTTGAGGTTTTATTTTTTGTTTAGTTTTTTTGGTTTTCTTTTTGATTAATCAGATCACATTTGAACTGTTGACACTGCCCAGCATCAGTAGCATAAAGTAAGCCTTCTCATATACACTGGTAAATGTGAAGCTTGGCCTTTTTTGTAATTAATAATAGGAGGTAGTGTCTCTCTCTGGGCCTCAGCTACATGTTGTGGTCTGTTTTTAGTGCTTGTGCTCAAACAGCTGAACTAGATTAAACGAGTAATGACTCCACTCTGTGCACATTGACAGCTTGCAGCTGTTGAGCAACTCACTTTTTCCACTGCTGATAGCTGTGTATGTTTATCTCTCTCTTCCCATGGTGTTGAGGACACTCACTCACTCACCCTCTCTCTCTCTCCAGGGCTCTTCACCATGCTCCTCGTTCTCTTTGTTTCACCCATCGCGCTGTCTGACTCGCTCTGTCTCTCTCCCTTTCTGTCAGATTTGGGACATCCGTTCTCTGGAGTGTGTTCACGTCCTGCAGACCAGTGGGGGCAGCGTCTACTCCATCGCTGTCACCAACCACCATATTGTCTGTGGCACGTATGAGAATCTCATCCATGTAAGTGATATGCACATAAGTTGACACTTCTTCCTCTCTTCCAAGTCCTGGAGTTGTTTTTGTCCTCATTTGAACTTAGTTGTTCTTTCATTTTTAGTTTATATTTGGCTAAGAGTTGTGTAAAGGCCAGGCTGCTGTGGTCTTAATGTTATCATGACGATGGTGTCTTTAGGTGTGGGACATCGAGTCTAAAGAGCAGGTGCGGACCCTCACAGGTCATGTGGGAACAGTTTACGCTCTTGCCGTCATCTCCACCCCTGACCAGACCAAAGTGTTCAGCGCCTCCTATGACCGCTCCCTCAGGGTGAGAACGTGTGTGTGTGTGTGTGTGTGTGTGTGTGTGTGTGTGGAGAGATGGTGTCCTAGTAAATGTAGAAAGGAATTATTTTTCTATGTGGTAGTATCAAAATGAAACTGCAATACATGCAAATTCACAATGATGTTAATGAGTGTGCATGGTCTGTGATCAGTAAGACAATAGTTACAAGTCATACACCACATGCAAAGAACTAATAGTTTGACACTTTGGAAAATATTTACTCACTTTGTTTCTGCATGTTAGATGAGAAGAGTGAGGAAACAGCTAGTCAGCTTTGTCCACATACAGCACTAATGAAGCTCACTGTTTGTTTTATACAAAAACAAAGTGTAAAATCAACAGACGCTTAATCAGAAAGGCTTAATTATCAAAATGCTGAACTTTTCCTGTAACTCTAGAAAATTGTATTATATAAAGTATTTATGCTGGTGTGCTTACTGTATGCAAATGTGTATCGACAAAATCTTTAACAGAAAAAGTTTAGTTTGTGTATAAATGACTTCTTCTATTGAAACAGAGTGTGTGTGTGTGTGTGTGCGTGCGTGCGTGCGTGCGTGCGCGTGTGTGTGTGGAGCATGGACAACATGATCTGTACCCAGACCCTGCTGAGACACCAGGGCAGTGTAACAGCTCTGGCCGTTTCCAGAGGGCGGCTCTTCTCCGGAGCTGTTGACAGCACCGTTAAGGTAGGAAAGATCATCGTCTGTCAGCGGCTTCATCTGTTTGTCCCTCTGCTTCTTTCATTTGTTACTAGAGTCTTCATCTTTATCCACCCAGCATCCTGTATCTCATCCTTCCCTTCCATACACGTCACATATGTCGAATGTCTTTACATTAAATAATTAAATAATTTCACTTTAAAATAAGTTTATATCACAAAACCTGTATTTATAGCTGTTCTGAATAGATGCAGCTATGTATCTTTATGGTCTTTATTGTCTTGAACAAAAGTTAGCTGTTATTGCCCTTGCTTGCACAGCTGTTGGCTCTTCTACAGCGTTTTTTCTTTCTCTCTCTCTTAGGTGTGGACATGCTGAAGGAACAGTTTGCTCTGCAGTTGAGTTCAGCTGACTTCATTTCTCATTAATGTTTCCACATGATTTCCTCCTCCATTCCCACATCTTTTATTGTGATTTAATAGCCACAGACCAGTAATAGGCACCACTCCACAATGAAGCTGCAATGGAACTGTTTTACTAATGTTGCTTTTAAAACTCCAAACAAACACTCCAACACCTTGAGGGTCCACACTGAGTCATGCTCCTCTGACCTAGTGACCCAGTGCATTACAGGGCAAAAATACGACAAGTTGCCTTACAGTTGCACCACACTGCGCTTAAACTGAGACTGAATGGGCGCTGCACTCCTGTATTCAGAGCAGGAAGCAGAGAGGATTATGGTTAGTGGTTTTCAAACTGTAGCTGGTCCTGCCTGCTTCCTGCACACACTCCTATCATTTCAGAACTGTACTGATGATGCCTAATGCATACTGTTTAAGTCTAAGGGCTGGTTTCACAGACACAGAGTGACACCATACTAACTCCAAATGTCTATGTAACCTTTCACAGGCCAAACTATTTCTGAGAAAAATCCCAGAGGGCACCAAAACAAGACAAATAATTCATTAAAAAAAATTAATGAAAAGTGCAATACAGTTACTTTATGCTAATTAGGGAACTGCAATTTCATGCTGAAATTTTTAGTTTTTGTAAGTGCGAGTTCACTTACCCTACCTAGGAAGTCTGTCTCACTCACTCAGTAATCAGAGGTCCCGAGCCAGCAGCCTTGGAGCTGATAGCACCCAGTGTCCTTCTCAGCCACCTCATCAACACCTGCTGTTTCCTTCTCTTAAGTGGTTTCAGCAGTAGCAGTCACAGCCATTGATGAACTCAGTTGTAACATCTGAATTCCAGCCTATTGTATCTTGATTTGAGTCCAAACTTGACGCTGGATTCAGCTAAGACACTGGCCTAACATGTTCTCAGACTTGGGTTGTTGTTTCATCTCTGATGCGGTGTGTTTATGGTGTGAAAAGGAAGCAAACCACACCAAACACAGTGAGTCTAGCTGTGATTTCTAGCCTGAAATCAACAGATACATGACTATAGAATTGATCTTTTAATTGGAAATAAGTATTTTGAAACCCATTATATTGCCTGAAATTAGCTTATTGCTAATATATCAGCTTATTATTGATATACCGATGATGGTGTACTGTATGTTTCAAGCAAGAGGAACCTTCAGACCAAAAAGCCAGAAGATTGCAGGTAATTCAGAAGCAGTGTCATCATTACATATTTTGCCCTGTAGAGAGCACTGTTTATTTTTCTATTGTACTGTAAATGTAACTTTTGTGTATCATGATTGTTTATGCATTTAAAAAAATCACTATCGGCCAATATACCATTATCAGTCTTCTTATACTTAATTCATGGTTCTGTCAATGTCGCTTCTAATTAACAGCTCGTTCACATATACACGCTCTTAGACTGATAAGAAAACCCAGACTTAACAAAGCCAGTTGATTACTGGGTTCGTGGTACCGGGTAACCACGACAACCAATGTTAGGCTCAGTGAAGGCAGATAACCCCAGGTTAGCTAGGCTAAGTTGAACTTGTTTTGTGGTACAGACCTCAGCTGTCAGTCATCTGGCTCTGTCTCTCCATTGACAATAAGAACCTTTTTGTGTGTTGTTTTGTTTTGTTTTTACAGTAATGGCAGGTTCTGGGAATGTCAAATAGTTAACGTTACAACCAAAAGCAGTGCCATAGAATTCGTTGACATGACTGCTATCTTCCAAAGTAAGAAGCTGAAATCAGTAATAATTAAACTTGACATTTTGAGTTGGTGCCGTGTCAAAACACGTTTTAAAACCTTTTTAACGTCTCTCTCAAACATTAGGTCACTATAATAATTTGGTACCTAGCTAACTAGCTAAATTAGCTGAGCTATGTACAACAGTAGAACAGAATTAGTTTGCAAGGCTGTAAAAGTCAGTAAAAGCAGTATTTTGCTGACAAGTTCCACCGTTCCCAACAGAAAACAATGGATCTGAAGCGACTGGAGTAGCATGACCTGCTGCCATTTTTAAATATACAGCGTCGTAACTCTTCTAATTGTAAGGGCTCTGCTGATGATGCAGGATGACATAACAGACCTGTCCAGTGAATGGTGCCGTGTATGTTTCAAGTTCCAGAGGAAGTGATTGTTCTTGTAACACTCCATTTCTGTTGTAGGCCAAAATGTGTACATATCAACATGGATAGACACAGGTGCAATGATGCTTTCTTGCTCTGTCTTCATTGTAGGTATCACCAGTTTTGTGAAACCAGCCTTTATAAAACACCTTTTAATAAGTGAAGACTGTAAAGAGAGAGACAGATCTATATATTTACTGAGTTTTATATTAGTGCCATGTTAGAGCTGTATTCAGAGCCACTCAGTTGTCGTACAGCTGTGTACAGTATATAGTGCCGAACCCGAACGTGTGCCCATAAGAATGACTGGCTGACACTGGCCTGCAGAAATGGAGAGACAGGCAGGGGAGGACACTGTTTGTGTGCCTGAACTGTGTGTGTGTGTGTGTGTTATTGTGTACCTGTGAATGTGTTTCAGTGAGTGCCATATGTGTGTGTGAGCAGTTAGGAAAGACTGTAATAGTGTGTCCTTTCTCCTCTCTTCCTGTCTCCCTCCTCCCTCTCGCTCTAACTCCAGCTGGTTATAATGAACATAACCACAAATTAATACTTGGAATGTAATACTGGATGACCTATATGTAATTAACCTCCAATGTCCCAGAGGCAAATGCAGAGAAAGAAAGCTAAAGTGAAGTCCCCTTTTCTTAAATATTTCAACCCACATTGGGTTGGAAATCAAAAAAAATTACTAGCTATACCTGGGAGGGTAGTTTTTAAGTGAATGAGATTATATTATGTGCCCACAATTTAGACACTCCACACAGTGTTCTGTTTTCATTTCACTGCACATCTGGCCACTACTTCATGTAGCCTTGGTGAGACAAGTTGAGGACAGGAAGAGAAGAAGTGTCTTCTGGTCACGGTTCCAGTGATTTCTTCTATACTTGTAATCATGTTAAGCCTGAGTTGATCATTGATCAATAAAACTGTTGAACACTGATTTTTATTTATTTATTTATTTATTTTAACCTTAGCTTATGGAAAGTGAAACTGAAAGTTGCTTTAACCAAAGGCTTTTGGTAAACCGAAGCTTGTGTTGTCCAGATGTTATCCCACCCACCCAAGTGCAACAGGACTAGCAGTAGAGTCGAGGTGTTGTTAAAGGAATATTTCAGCATTTTTTTGCTAACTGATTTTATTTGCTTTCTTGTCAAAAGTTAGATAAGAAAATTGGTAACACTTTTAATTTTGTATTGTAAATATCTGAAGCTACTTGGCGTAGCATACAGATAAAAGTAGCGTAAAGGCTGGAAATAGAAAAACAGTCGTTCAAATGATAAAATCTATTATTGGCACCTGTGAGAATTACACAACTGCAACCTATAACTTTTACACTCTGGTTTTGTATGGTATATTCTGTGAGCTTTATTTTATGTACTTTTGTACAGGGCTAGTTTTAATGTTAAGATTAGTTAAGTTGCCTGCTGAAGTACTCGCTACAGTTAAACTATTCACATTTTGTACATGTCTTGATCTAATTAGATGGAATAACAACACCTGTGGAAGCTACTACAGTATGAAAGGCTTCACAATACAAAAACATTTTGAGTGGTCTATTTATGCAGTCGTGTGCTGCCCCCTGGTGGACGACTTTGGAAAATATGAAGTTTATGTCTGAACAAAAAAAGGGAGACTGATTACTGCGCAGTTTGTATAGAACATTTATTTATTCGGAGCAGATGGCCATAAGATGCAGTCACTGCAAGCACACACCACTGTTCAGTCAATACAACACACACACACACACACACACACACACACACACACACACACACTCAGTCTTCATATAGTCAAAGCAGAGCAATACACACTCTGCCTCTTCAAGCACTCATATACAGTCACTGCTGAGCAGAGACACCAGGTTGGCATCTGTTAAGATAAGCACAGGCAGAAATTAAAATAAAAACGGCTTGGCTTTTTCTTTTGTTAAGAAAGAAAATAAGTGGTAGTTTTTATTCCATAACATATGACCATCTGTGTTTTGTCACCATCAGTGGTATTTTTACCTTTGTAACCTGAACCCAGCCACCACATGTCCAAATACACCAGAAAAATGCCCACAGAACGACAGATGACGAAAATGAGACAGGAGGACATAGAAGAATGGGCAAAATGTTGTTTAACATAACAAACCATCAACATCTGTCTGTAGCTGCAGCTGTAATGGTGGAAGATTAGGCTGTGTCTGCACCACTGTGTGGCCTCTGCGGTCTGATAAGGGGAAATTATGTAGCCCTGCAATGATGCCCTACAAACTAGACTAGAAAAGCTGAAGTTTATAGTGGGAATTTCAGATAAACATCAGGTTGGAAAATCTGGTGAATATTTTGATACTTAATTTCTCAACTTCAAATATACAGTTACAAAACAGTTTCAGCCATCATAACTGACATTTTACTGATGTATTAAATCTACAGTTTAAAGAAATCTGACGTTTTGGGATGTGTAAATTTGTTTTCTTTCTCAAGACTTAGATGAGAATATTGACACCATGCTTATACATGTATACTATATATAAAGCTACCACCAGCCATGGGTGGAGCCAGGGGGTGGCCAGGATGGCACTGGCTACCGTCAGCATCTGATGGCCGCCCCTTGTGTCACCCCTGCCAGAGTCAAAATGTGCTGCTGATCAGAATTAATGAATGAAAAGCAATGACAAACTGTTGTCTTAAATACAGCAAACATTTTTGTCACTTTATAATGGATATTGGTCAAATTAGATTTATTTTATTTTATTATTTTCATTCTCTTCTTTGACTGGGTTGTGTACTTGGCCTGGTGGGGGAACAAGCGATGTCCCCAGCCAGGAGTAATTCAAGTAACTAAATAAAGTGCAGTTGTCATTTTTACACATACACAATTAAATTTGTTTCTTAATAAGTTATAGTTAATTATGTCATATAACTAGAGGTTTAATTTACTTTTTACATGTATTTCAAATGTGCCACCCCTCTCTGAGTCTGGGCCCCGGCCTGGCCACCCCTTCCAATATGTTCTAGATCCACCCCTGCCACCAGTAGGTCATTGGTTCAGTTTAGTTCACAGGAAGCAGCAAACCTGGCTCTGACCAAGTGTAAGAAAAATTGCATAGTGTTGTTTTCACACTGGTTTTTGTACAAATCAATCCTGATGTTAACTAGTGTGCTAGCTTTTCTGTCTGTTTTTAGTTTTCCAACTAGGTTTAGCTAAACTAACCTGCAGCTGGCTAGAGATTAATACTCTTCACACAGACACAAGAGTGGTATCAATTTTCTTTGCTTTCAACAAGAAAGTGACTGTGTGTATTTCCCAAAATGTTGCAATATTAGGCATGGCAAGCCAAGTTTATTTATATAGCACATTTTCATACGCAACAGCAATTCAAAGTGCTTACTATGTTTAGTATTCAGCGAATCTGGGAAACAGCAGACACATAATGCAAAGCGGCCAAAATGTCGCTATTTCACAGGAAAATAAATCCGTTCCTATTTGTTCAGTCAGACGCAGAAGCCTCAGTTTCACAAGGACAAATAAGGAATGTATGTGTTAACTGAACAGTGAGTGTGGGAAAAAATGGAAAGATTTTACTTGGCTTTTATTTAGGTCTGATGATTTTATATTTTTTTATGATGACATATCAAATAATGAAGCAAAACAGAATAAGAGATAGATCCCCGTTTGTTGTACATACCCATCTACTGTATTGTAGTCAGACCAAAATCACAAAGCAAGGCACATGTTTCAAAGAAAAAGAACTGAACACTGCATTTAAAACAATACCAAAATAATACAACTAAACAACAAGAACTGCTTGTATTATACACATCGCCACACCTGGACACATGTAAGCAGAGGAAAAACTTAAAAAAAAAAAACAAAGAAAAAAACAATTGCTTCCTGGAAATATCCCAACATGGTATCCTACAATGATTCATCAGCTCAGACCACTTAAGCATGGAGTAGCAAACTGGTTCAACACCCTAATTAGATCTGTTTACTTTGAAAAATAGTCTTCAGGATGACACACACATCATAAATACACTTCTTATTTCTATATTTTTGCAAATATCCTTATATAATCTCTATGTGATCATAATTTAAATACCACAGCTAATCTCTGAATTCTTATTTTTTTATATTAGCAGTGTAGCTTCTGTAGGACTGTGAAACTGAGATTTCTCAATGGGCTGAGGTGCAAATGAGACATCAGAGTGTCACCTCTCTAGATGCAGTTCCCGGTACATTTTAATATTTTAATATTATATTAAAACAAACCATCCAGCTTCACGGATCTCTGCTGCCACTCACTTCAACACTTTTTTTAAATAACTCTCATGAACACATTGTCATGGCAACATGCTGTGTAGCAACCATGGTGATGCTGATGAGGATGGCGGGGGTGATGATGTAGATTGTCAGGCAAACGAAGGGTGGGTGGTTGGGAGAGTGGTGGTGGTGATAGGATGTAATCAATTTGGAAAGTGCAAATCAATATAGGATCTTAAAAGTATGGATGTACCAGTATCGGGCTGATACTGACCTTATCAACTGGATGTGTTCTTTGTCACATTTAACTGTGTATTATTAACTGTTATTTTGTTATTATAAAATGTAGTGTCACAGCTCATGTATCAGTGCCACAGTAATCCCTGGCCTGGCAATAGCTCCACTGATTCTCCTACAGTACAGTTTTTAGATTTTAAAGCGGCCTCCAGTCAGAAATCTGTTTTGTTGATTGTCCACTTTGATGCTTGAGTCTCACTGTACAGAATGATGTAGGTGCAGTGTTTGACACCAGAAGGCCAAACATCTGCTGATTGACAGGGACACCGTTTCTCTGTGCTCACCTTAAAGCACAGAACGTGCTTGCAGGAGTTTGTGACACCACAACTGATTTTGCCAAAATCCTGAGAAGCCAATCTTGAGAAGCAAAATATTTGCACGTTCACAGATGATGGGTTTTAAAGGAAGAGGTTTAGATGTAATTTTAAAAACTGTTTAAGCAGGTAACTGAACTTTTCTTGTGGAATAACCACATCTGATACAAATACTATTCAAATCAGTCCAGTTCTGTATGCCTTAAAACATGTCTGGAGGGGATCTTTCGACTTGGAACTAATGTTGGATCAGTAATGGAAGAGAAAGAGCTGGTTCGGTTTATCCCTACTTCAAAGTAAGTAAGCAAAAGGTTTCTATAATAACAGTGAATTTAGTTTCCTTCACTTATCTCTAGGAAATCTGTTTCCTACAATCCCTTGTGTTTGAAAACAGCAGACACTGGGCAAGATTTGAAATTGCTGAATTGAGTTCATTCTGAGGAAACAAGGCTCTGACTCTGGTGCTTGTATTGCACTGTTTGCCCCTTCTGTTTTGACTAATTAAGTCTAATTTTACCTTTGACCCTAAAACCCACCCTTTTTCAAATGCATCCTGAAATCCTTTTCTAAAACTTTCTGTCATGCCAACTTTATCTTCTAGACCTAAAGCCTGCTGAGACGACATGCTGTAGCTTTCCTGCAGTTTTCTCATTCTGTCCACTGCTCCACTCAGGATTTAGTTTATACTGTGCAGCCTCCTCTGTGTGTGCGTGTGTGTGTGTGTGTGTGTGTGTGTGTGGTTGCATGGATCATTGTGCTTCTCTTGTGTATATGAGTGTGTGTTAAAGGCGGTGCTGAGGAAGTGACAGAGTGTATGGATGCAGCCAGGACAGGAAACTGATTTTGATCCACAAGCTCATGTACACACATGTCCCTATCTCTGTCTCACACACATACACACACACGCACACACACACACACCCTCAGGAGCTGAATGGTCTCATTTTGGTCACAGTTAAAAATCTTTTTCCACCAAGTCATTTACATCATCACAACACCAGAGGTCACCATTCCACACAGAACCAAGACATGAAACCAAAGAGCTAGAGATTCATATTTATCAGTATATTATATATTACTGTGCTAATGCAGGTCTTTTTCAGTAGATATAAACTCTCCATGCTTAGAATGTACACATACCATACTATGATTCATTACACAGTTGGTTCAATCAGTATTAGTTCAGTTTATGTGTTCAAGTCCACGTGGAGTCTTTAAAAGAGCCACGTATTGATTGCAGTCTCCTCCATGTTGTTGCATTTCTTCATTTCTCCGACTGGTGATTTTGTAAAAATGTTCCCCCCCATGAGTTTTTTGGTCCTTTTTCCCCTCTCTCTCTGTTAGCACCTCTCTCTTTATCCATCCTTCATTCTTGCACTCAGTCTGTCCATGCCTGTGGCACTGCTCCATCATCATTTTCATCATAAGGAGATAGAGGGGATGAGAGGAAGAAGAGAAGAGAAGAGAAGAGAAGAGGGGTTTCCAGAGCAGCGACGGATGGACTGACGATGTGACGAGTGAGAACAAGCATGACAGAGAGAGAAGGATGAGGAGAAGGAGAGAGAAATAGAGAGGCGTGTTGCCTGTCGTGCCATCTAAGTTGCTCCTGATGCTGTGTTGCCATGGAGACACACTGACTGGTTTCTGTGCTTACTCCAACATGGCATCCAGCTGGTCGGCCAGGTCATCAAACATGCTGCCGATGTCATCGAGGATGCTGACCGTGGTTTTCTGCTCAGCCACAGAGCTAAACACATATACACACAAAGAAGAAAAACATTGTACTAACCAACAGAGAATAATTCATATCCTAGGTTGAAGATCTGGGCCTCTATTTTCACAGTGGTATGTACTGGTAAAAAGACCAGCGGTACTGGTTTTGAAAATGTGGGTCAACCTTACTCCCAGATTTGGTCTCTGAATTCAAACAGAGGGAAACACAAGTAGCTCTCATTTCTAACCCTGTGGTCCCTATGGTCTGTGCCAGGTTTACCATGGGGAGCATGCGTATGTGAGTATGTGTGTGTGTTCCTTACTCCTCCTGTCGCAGTATCTTATCCTCTACAGCCTGCAGCGCGGCTGCCAGCGATGCGCTCGTCTCCTCCAGCTTCTGATGCACCAGAGAATCCACATTGAAGTCAGGTGTTGTTGTAGCTGGAGGTGCCGTGACCCCACCTCCCACCATCCCGCTGTCCACTGACACACCACCAATGGAGGAGCGGGGGGGTTTGACAGGTGGGGGAGTAGGGCTAGGAGTGGCAGGAGTCTGGGGTGTCTGTGGCGTGGTGGGGGTCTGTGGGGTGTGGGGGCTCTGGGAAGACGGGCTGGGCAACTTTGCATTTGGTGGGCTGGGAGTTTTGGAAGTGGGGAAGGATGACGGTGAGCTGGTCTGTCGGGCCACCGCAGAATGTTTGACTGGAACAGTGGCCAGGGTTGGCGAGGGGGGACTGGTCATGGAGTGGATGAGTTTAGCCGGTTTGGGTGCCGTGGGCGGGGGCACTGGTTTGGGCGAGACCGGTGGAGGAATCTTCTTACCTTCCACTACAGAGAGATAAAAGGCTAAGGCTGGGGTAGTGACTGGCCAATACAGAC